GTGCCCGACGGGGCGGGACGGAGCCCCGTTATGCCGGAAGATAGCCATCTTGCTGCAGATTGCTTGATGTGTAGTGGCCCCGAGGGGGCGTAATAAGTGGAATACGTGTGATGCATAGTGCGTGATTATGTGATAGAAATTGCTAGGCATGGTATGGGACGTGCCTAAGTGGATTCTGTCTTATAATTGAGACACGCGCGCCTGTGATGCATTGATGCATGGGAAATCTATTTAAATGCTTCGAGTATGTGACATGTTCATTTCATCGAGTGTGCCAAGGCGAGGTAAGGATGGTTGTGGTTGTTTAATGATGTTGCTGTTGATGCTGTATTGCCTGGTTAGGGACCCCCGAGGCGAGTTGGCCTCCTAAGCGGGGCTTAGGCCGTTAACTTATTGAGATTTTATCTCATTTGTTGTTGTTAAACCTTTTTCAGGACCTTAGCATGTCGTTGCTCCCTATGCGGTTTGGAGTACCGTAGTTTTTGGTTGGTCCTTGAGGGTTAGGCCTGAAAGCTGATCTTTTGGATGGAGTAGATTAACCCTAGCCTTTATCTTTTGCTGGCTTTTTGTGGAAACGCCCGAAGTGGGCTTGTAAGTATGTTCCCAGGGTTAATCGATAAAAAAAAATGGCTTTTGTTATGACTGGTTTTCCTCTGCTATCCCTGATTTGATTATTGTCTGGGGTTTGTCGTGTTGGTTATCGTTTCCGCTTGCGTAATTCAAAGATAAAAAGAAAAGGGTCGGCGACGAGTCCTAGTCGTCGCATCATAACGACCATAGCGGGATGTTGCGTGTCCGTAGGGTTCAGGGCGTGACATGATTAGTCCCTAATTTATATGCAATTAAACCCTAAATGGTTAGCCAAAATTTAGGTGTCAATACAATCCCACAAAAAATTCGAGATTTTCACATTAAGAAAGTAAGCATCTACCTATTTGTCTATACTCATTAGTAATTCTATTATGTAACTAGTGAATTTCAATAACAATACATTCTTCAACATATTAGAAGTAACTACTTATTTTGACATGATTAGTAAGTTTTCATAACAATGTATGGTTAAGCAACGATTTTTCTGTAGATGATTAATATATTTTATGTGAAAAAAGTATCGGTAATATTAAGTTTTTGAACTATGTAGGGTTGAGTAACTTTTCATGTAATTGTGTATATTTTAGTTAATTAGTAACTTTTTCGAGTGACTAATCATTTTTTAAGGAAAATTGTTTTCAACCTAACAAAATTAGCAATCTTAACGCATGGTTAGTGACTTTTCAAATGGAAAATAAATTTCAATTTATTAGTGATCACACTAAGTAAGTCTTATATTAAGTTCAATGATTTTTCACAAGAGAAGGTTATTTTCACATCTTTTAAGCTATTACAAACCAGTGGAAAATTACTTTTCAACCTGTTGAATAAGTGGGATTATCTTATAAAAGAAAAAAATAAGTTGGATTAATTCAAATTAAAGTTGTCTATGTTAAACACCATACACTTTGTTATTTCTTTTTGTCTCAATCCGACCCAAAATTCCATCTTCGGATTCTGATTGTCCTAGATTTGATGGGTGCTTGCCAGGTGCACTTTCCATGGACTAGTCAGGTCAAAATACTCAACTCACATTGTCCATTTCCCCCAATTTCACATCAAGAAAATCACAAACTCATTTTCATTTTCACTCTGCCATTGTCACCTATCACTTCACTTTCCCTCACTTTTTTGTGGCCCTCAGAAGTGTCTTAGAAAGAAAGGTCATGGTACTGTCCCCACTCAATGAAGAAGAATCTGCTTACAACTCTCTTCTTTACCCCCAATGTTTCTAATTTGGGGGTGATTCAAATGGGCAAGTGACTTGTGCATGCCAAAGAGAAAAGAGAGAGTTCGTTAACTATTTTCGCCAAAACTGAGTATTTGTGCGTATACAAACATTTATATTTTGCTGGCAATCAGATTGATGAGTAAAATTTCATGATAAGGATGCCGTTGCCCTTGACATTACTAGATACGTGCACAAAACCTCACATCTTCGCCACTCTAATGCCATTATCCCCACCACCAACATCTAATGTCGGGTGTGCGCTCATGAATTTGATGATGGAGTTGTTGTAGCTATCAATTTTCCATGGCAACCGGGACCTACTCCACCTTTGGCACTGAGATCTTTACCAAGTGGATCATGTCGTGATGGCTGCTGCAACTTGCAAGTGGTTCTATATTGGTGTTGCTGCTAGACTTGAGTGACTTTTATCGACGCATTCTGGCTGTTGTTCATATTAACTGAATCTAGCTCAGCATACCTTAATCTGCGAGAGCACTGCTCCAACAGGCACTTCATGCTTAATAAGCACCAAACCATCACCTACTTAATAAAAGTTGGCCTGTTCAATTTTCCTGGTTTTGGCTTTAAAACAATTGGCAGAAAGATTATTTGAGAGACATAAGAACCAATGAATAGTAAACATTGTACTTTTGAATAAAAATAACAACAGATTGCAAAATTCGATAAAACGTTCAGCTTTGAGCTAATTTTTCAAGAATGTCCATCTCGAGAACACTCCTCGTCGCCCTACAACAGTGATGATTAACATGGTTGATAAAACCTCCATCCGGGCTCGGTTCCAAGAATGGTTGGTACATTCTTTTTTAGGATTTACGGTTTATGGAGTACTTTGTAAATTTTTTATTTTTAGAAAAATACATGTCTTGCAGTTGTAAAGCGAATGATCACAGAGACAGAAACAAGCTTTTATTGTGGTAACTTTGTCGATGCTCTTAGCCACCCAATGATAAGTTCTTTGCATAGTCATAGACAATATCAATTTATCTAATGATAAATGCATTAAAAGTCTTAAAACTTGTCGAAAAGTGCACTCGAGTCCTAAAATTTTCAAAAAATGCAATCAAGTCTTAAAATTTAAAAAAATCCAATCAATGGAAGGACTTGATTGGATGGGTAGGACAAATACTCAATGCCAACCGAAAGAGGTTACGATACCATTGTTAACTTTTGGTGTTAATGTGCAAGTGCGTGTATGTGAGGAATCTTTTCATGGCAAAAGATCAACAAGGAGATAAGGAAATAAAATTTTATTAGGTAATTTGTATAGTACAAGCGAGAGTGGAGGAGCATTCTTTTTTCCAGTTGGTTGCATGTACACCTAAAGACCGCAAGCCTCACCTATTTATAGGCACATTTCCACAGGCTCTTTATGCAAATATCTTTGATTTTGTTAGAGATTGTTTCTTGTTTTTTTTAAACTGGGCCACAACCTTCTTTACTAGTCTACAACCTTGTACAGTCCACTGACACTTAGGGCCTGCTTGGTAATGCTCCAGATTCTCTGATTTTCTGTTCTTTTGTTCCCTAGAATAAAAAAATAAAAATAGAAATCCGTTCGGTAATGTCAGTCAATTTTTTTGTTCCCCATAACAAAAAAGTGATCAGGGAATGAATTTGGAATAGAATCAAAAAGTAAAAAAAAAGCTGCTTCTTGATTCTGGAAACAAGAATCAGAAATATAAGAGATTTTTTTTTTCTTTTTCTTCTTTCCTGGTCGGCGAGGGCGTCGCGGCCCTCACCGGCCATAGGCGAGGGCAAGGGTAGGCGAGGTCGCCTAGGCCGCGAGCGTCGAGGGCCACCCTTGCCCAGGCCACGAGGGTCCAGCTCTCGCCGGCAACCCGGCCATGGCCAAGAAGGAGAAGAAGAAAAAAAAAAGAAAAAAAAGAGAAAGAAATATTAAAATATTTTAAAATATTATTAATAAAAAGAAATTTTGTGCAGTTACAAAACACATTTATGTTTTTTTCTATTCCAAGAATGGAAATTTTGGGCCGTTATCAAACGCCTTCAAATGCTTAGAAATTGTTTCTAGAAACAGAATAAAAAAAAATCATTTCTTAGCAGAAATTGTTTCCGGGAATAAAATGGTTACCAAACAAGCCCTTATAAGTCTAGAAGATTGTTGTAGGCTTCACCGGACGAGCTTAGATTTTTGGAAAATTGATGAGATTTTAACAAAAACATCAATACCAAGATTCCTCTAGTCCAATGCCCTTATGAAATAAGTTTAAAGACAAAAATGTAAGCTTACTTCTTTATCAAACAGATGTGGTTCTGCTATTACATTGTAAGCACTGATAATGCCAGAGTAAAATGCCAAACCATGCAAGAATGTAAAGAACTTTGGTGACATTTTTTATGCGAATGTAGTTCTTAATAATTTATGATTACAATCAATCATTGGGTGCCTGTTTTCTAGTAACTGTAACATAAGGTTGTTAGCTCAAATTTCATGCGAAATCCAGTACTTCACAGCTGACAAATTGTATTGTCTAATGAACTTGGATTCATCCTCCTGCATCGAGTTGGGCCAAGAAGGATAAATTACTGATAGGAAAACAAAAAGAACAAGATTAATAATGAATAAGAATATGATACTCTATTGTCCGTAGCGTTAAAACTTAAGTTATGAACGTTACGGAGTCAATTAATCTAAGAATGAGGGGTATGTAGATATTGTTCACAAAATGATAACAGGAGTACTGTGAGGTAGGGTTTCGGCGTGGGGATGCTTTGAGTTCGGGTATGGTTTTAGTCATGTTGTGTCTCGTGTTGCATTTGGCAAGGTGTTGTGCTGGCCTTGATAATGGCTGAATCTATTTTAAAATCTGCCCTTGCAATTGCTAGAAATTTCAAATCATTACATATTTGACATTTTAACCCTGAGAAGAAAATTCTGTAATATTTTTGACTACGAAATGGCTGATGCCATTAAAAAGATGGTACATTACTGTTTGATCTTGTCCAGCACTATTCCACAAATCACATTCAGCTTCAAACTCTTCATCACTAGTGCGATCTCCCTCATTTACACATAAAATAATGATCAACAACTGGATGTACATGAATATACATGATATTTCAAGATTACACCACTAACGGTCACTGCAATTGCGAGATGAAGTTTCAGAATGATGTCATTTCAAGAAGTCTCATGTCATCGGCCTTCAACAGTGGTAAAAGTCATATTGTTGGCAGAATATTTCTTCTGGCTTTGTTCAGAGGAATCCTGGTCTCGGTTTATTTCCCTCTCAGTGAATGCAGGTTGCTTTGGACTCGGAAGATCAACAATTTCACTGTTAAGCATTGAAATGACAGTTGAAATGGTAGGCCTATCTTTTTCAAGTTCTTGGGTGCAAAGTAGGCCCACTTTTGTGCACCTCAAAACCTCAACTTCAAAGCAATTGATAGACATTTTTGGATCCGCTAATGCTAAAGCATTGTCTTCCTTCCACAGTTTCCATGCCTGCATAAAAATTCATCAAGTCAACTAACAATGGGAACGAGTACCTATGTAAATGAGTACAGTTCTCTGTTAGCAACAGCTCACAAATCCTAGAAGGCTCAAGCATTGATCTTCCTCAGTAAAGCCAGTGTTCCGTCTTCCACTTATGATCTCCAATAATAACACACCAAAGCCATAGATGTCAGATTTTTCTGAAAATCGCCCTTCCATTGCATATTCTGGAGCCATGTAACCGCTGGATTCCGTCAAATATTTTAAAAAATTCTCAAGCTTAGTAGAAAACAAAGTATGAACTTCAAAATGTAAGAGGTACTAACTAGGTTCCAACAACTCTTCGTGTATTCGCCTGGTCTTCGCTGCCCCCAAATATCCGGGCTATACCAAAGTCAGAAATTTTTGGATTGAGCTTTTCATCCAAAAGAATGTTGCTTGCTTTCAGATCTCTATGAATTATTCTTAACCTAGAATCCCTGTGAAGATAGAGTAGGCCTCGACAAATTCCATCAATGATGTTGAATCTTCTTCTCCAATCCAAAATTTCTGGTTTGAGCGGGTCTGGATAGACAATATGAATAAATTGCCGTCAATCTGCATTGCTTTTGCAACCGGAAAAGAGAGACATGAACAAAAGGAAATCCCAATGCAAGCAGAAAATGTATATATAGGTATGCTTCAATAATATTTGAATGGCTAATATTACAAGTGAGACATTCTAACAAAGTGGGATTCAATGGTAGATTGAGGCATTATGGAGAAAGTAAACCAACCGAAGAGAAATGCATCCAGACTCTTGTTTGGCATGAACTCATAAATGAGTATTTTCTCTTCTTCTTCAACACAGCATCCGAGGAGTCTAACGAGATTTCTGTGTTGAACTTTTGAAATGACCACCATTTCATTCATGAATTCCTTCAGCCCTTGTCCCGAGGTTCTTGATAATCTTTTGACTGCTATTTCTTGTCCATTTAACAGTCTCCCCTGTATAAGAGGACTGAATGTGAGCTGCGGAAATGTAAAAATTATGTCACCGAACTGTTCATAGACATTACCCAATATACGGTACCAAAACCACCCCGACCAAGCTTATTGATGTTACTGAAGTTGCTTGTTGCCGCAACTAATGCTTCAAATTTATACAGCACAAGCTCCTGGAGATTAACTTTGGCCAAGTTCTCTCCAAACTTGGTTTCATCAGAAACCATTAAAGATGGTTCTCCATCGGAAAAGTGCATTTCCATGCTTTTCTTAACTGTTGATTGAGAATATTTAGTAATTTAATCCGTGCAAACACGTAAACAATTAATCAGCATAGAAGGATCTGAGAGCTGTAAAACTCGTTACCTCCTTGTTTTTTCACCTTCTTCCAAGCAAAGCACAGTGCAATAACAAGAATGATTGTTCCCGTAACAGCTGTAGCTGCAACAATAGTTCTCAGATTTGTTTTTTCATCTGCAGATCAAATGGCAACATAAACTGGTATCTCAGATAATGTCAATTCAGCAAGTGAGAACTAAACGAAAGTCTTCTTGGATCACTTTTCTTATACCCATATACAGCGCCCAGCCCCGCCGCACACCCCCCACCCCCCCGCAAAAAAAAGAAAAAGAAAAAGAAAAAGAAGAAGAACTATCTATACATTAACTATGATTTGAGACTAATGTGAACTTACTAAGGTCTGTGTGAGCTAGACGAAGGTAAACATCTGTTCCTCCAATGGAGAACTTCTGTAGGTCAAGTAGGTCTCCACTCCAGTGCATGCAACCAATGCCAGGGTCATAGGCATATGCCACACATGAACAATTAGTTAAGCACAGTGCTGGGCAGGCAGCTTCAATAGGAGAAGTCCAAACTGCAAAGTCTGGCACTTTCACTTTCTTCAGCTTAAAAAATCCGTCCTCTTTGCCTGCTTTACTGCTATTATTTGTACTACCAGTGCATTGCAATAACGTTTTCCTGACGCATCCACTGGACCAATTCCCTCTGCTCCATTCCTCATTATGTTCAGGCTCAAAACCTCTCAAGCAGCTGCAAATTGGTGATTTCTTGGGATTGCAGAGGGCGAAAGGCCCACACTTGCCATAAACATCACAATTGGTCACCCGAGATGACCAAACAATCTCCCAGATATTCCCATCACGATCCCAAGACGGCTGTACTATATCACCACTTGATTTCAGTAAAATGTAAGACAGGATAGGCCTCTTAGCATAACTGAAGGTGACATAGACAGTTCCTTCCTTATCATCAACAAGGTTAAATCCATAGAGATAGACCGATTCCATGCCCTGCACTCCAATAAAAGTCTCACCATTCCATGGACCACTCCGCCAATATGGTTCGGTGCCATTCCAAGTAAAAACTTGTGGAATGTTCATTGAATCTAGACTCACCGAGAAGCTTCCAATTGATGGATCAGAAGGGCATTTCCAAGATGTTAGTGTCTGCTTCTCATTTGTTCTTGAGTTAGTGCTGAGCTTCATTTTCTCTAAGAATGAATCGGTCATGTGCTGGAAACTTTCCCAGAGAGTCTCTGCATCATTTGCACTAGAATTAGAGCTCTGTTTGAGCAAGACAAGGTTCCCAGAATCCGACAACTGAGCTTTTGCATCGGTTATAGAGTTGGAAACATTTGATGACCAAACTAATTCCCTCTTTCCATTCATGACCACAAGATTACCATCATCAGATATCGTCACGACACCAGAAGAGTCTAAAATCGGATTCTCCCTGTTCGCTACCCACAGAACATAATATGTAGGAACATTATTGTACCAAATCCCCACATAGCGATTTGCAGAACCATTAGGGCTAAAGAATCCCATTCTGTAGAGACCTCCACTTGATGTTATACTTCCAGGGTCTTGGATATACTCAGTTGCTGTGATGACATCTCCTCCAATGCAAATTTTAACAACATAATGAGACATCAGAAAGAGAGAGAAAAATCTTGCTTTTCCCAGAAATATCATGATGACAACTTGAATCCTTCCTCCTCAGCAACAACCTATAACACGGCACGCCGCCGAAGCACTACTGGCAATGGTAGAGTAAGTGCCAAGCAAGACGAGTCGCAAGTGAATTTGGGGACAGAAGATGAAAATCAGAATTCTGGTGAGGAAGGCCTAGTGGTTGAAGGTGATGGCGGTCCACATGGCCTAATTATCATTTGCATAGTCCCTGGCTAAATGGACTTAAGGAGCCCCATGAAGAAAGCGGCATTGAAGAAGCTCATTTTTCTAGCTAAATGGCCCCACAGTTTTTCGCAGAGTTTAAACCTGTGGTCTCTACTATTCAGCATCGGTGTTGCATATTGGATCTCTATTATCTTCACTTGAACCACTTGTTCTTCACTTCAATAAATTTCTTGTTCTTGGTCATGAGATTGCTAAGATATGTTCAGTCGACTTTCACTTTCTGCTTAGCGTCTTAAATTCATTTGAAGTATTGAGTATCTCGAATTTCATAAAGTACAAGGATATTAGCATTTGAACTCATGTAAAATCATATGATTTTTCACAAATTATTCATAGAAAAAAAAATCATTGAAGGGAGAAAAATGTCATTTCAAATAAGCCCCTAAGCATTCCCCCATTATTAACTCGTGACTCAATAAATTTAGGCCCTTAAGAATTCACCCTCGACTTATTTTATTTTGCAAAATTCAAAATATTTGAAACTTTCACGACGCGCTAACACACATGGCATCCCAATTTAACGCATTAAGACCTTGAGCACCCAAATATAATACTTCGTTTCAACGTCAACTTCCTCAAGTCGGTCGTCTTTCAGACCCCAAAAAAAAAAAAAGGTCGGTCATCGATAATCTCGGTTAACTACGTCATAGGCTGATTGTTTCTATTGAGCGTCACTAATTAGTGTCAATCGAAAAGGCAAAAGAAATTATTTAGTGTATATTAGATTAAGTAAAAAAGTTAGAAAAATTATATCTTGATCGCATTTCACCCAGGTACCCTTCTGAAAGTACCAACTTTGCCATCTGATGGCTGAACTGCATTGGCCCAAATTACTCTGTCTTCAAGCCTCAAGGAACGCAAAAAACCTCTCATTTCCCCCAAAAACCGCACGTACTGAAACCCTAATCTTTCTCCGCCCATTCGTCGTCCCAGTGGCTGCGGCCTACTCGTGCTACGAAAGTCAATCCCCCAACTTCCAGTCACCACTGCACCTGTCAAGCCATGCCCGAGAGGAGGAGGACGACGACGACCGGGCATCACATTTCCTCCCTCGACTCGTGACAGCTTGTGGGTCGTGTGAGATGAGACTGAGGGACGAAGACTGAGTGGCGGGTCAAGTCGTCTGCACGAAGATCACATCGCCCCCATCCGAACTCTCTCTCCATCCATTCGCACGAGGCGACGACGGAGGGGACGGTGGGAAAGGAACGAAAGGACGCGTCGGAGGGGACTCTCGACTCCTTGGACGTATTCCGGATTGAGTCGTCGCTGTCATTTCGGCGGTGCAAGACGAGAGACAATGTGCGAACCAAGCTGTGTGATAAGGACTTGAGACTTGAGAGGTTGTCCCCGGCGTCACGCACGGTTCGGGGTCACTGGCCGGTTCACTCGACCCAGATTCGCCGGTTATTGTTTTAATAGACCCTAGCAATTAGCGAATCGATTCTATTTGGCTGTGTTCGTTTGCGGAAAAATATTTTTTCGGAAAATATTTTTCGCATTTTTCGGTGTTCGGGGGCGGAAAATGTTTTCCGTGAGAAAACATTTTTCTTCCCCACCCCCAAATCCTTCATTGTTTTCGGGAAAATGATTTCCTCTTTTCACAAGGAGGAAATCATTTTCCCCCAAATTGAAGGCAAAATTGCCCATGGGAGGGAAAATGTTTTCCGCGGGAAAGGAAGTTGATCGCCGGTCGCCGCCGCCGGTTGCGGCCGGCCGCCGCCGCCGCTAGTCGCCGCCGGACTCGGCCGCCGCTGTCTTGATTACCGCCCGTCGCCGGCCGCCGCCGCCGCCTGCTGCCGGCTGCCGGTGCCCAGCCGCCGCTGCTGCCGCTGCCTTGCTGCCGCCGGTCGCCGGCCGCCGCCGCGCCGCTGCCATTGCCGGTCGCCGTGAAAAATATTCTTCGAAACTTTTTCATATTGGTCGCCGACACAGGAAAATTATGTTCGGGAAAACATTTTCCGGGGAAAATGACTTCCGGGAAAATATTTTCCAAAAGGAGAATATTTTTCGCCAAACGAACGGAGTTTCGGAAAATATTTTTCCCGGCGATGGTGGCCGTGACGGCAGGCGACAGGGCGGGCGGCCGCGGTGGCGATCGGGCGGCAGCCAAGGCGATCAGCGGCATGCGGCAGCGGCGACCGGGCGGCGGCGGCTATGCGACGGGGCGGCGGAGGCCGCGATCGTATAAGCGGCGGCGGCGGCGGAAGCGGGGCGGCGGCGCGCGGCGGCCGGCGGCCAACGGCGGTGACCGGCAATCAACTTCCTCTCCCGCGAAAAACATTTTCCCTCCCATGGGCAATTTTGCCTTCAATTTGGGGGAAAATGATTTCCTCAAAACAATGAAGGATTTGGGGGTGGTGTCCGCCCCCGAACACCGGAAAACACGGAAAATGTTTTCCGGAAAAATATTTTTCCGCAAACGAACACAGCCTAGGTTCTATCTGTTCTTCGGAAAACGAATAATTTAAAAAATAATTTATTAAAAATAATCTCTTATATATCACTTAAAATGATTGATCAATGAAAAATGTTTTTATTATTGAGAACAACTTATGTTTAAACATTTTTGTAGACGATAAAAATATTTTTCGTTTATTCATTTTTATAAATGATACAAATGATTTCTTTGAGAGAAACATTTTTTAAATTATTCAATTTTTGCGAAACAATGGAACCTTAATATTTAATAAATTCTCATTCAGGATCTAATGAAAAGGTTACTGTATTTTACGTTTTTCATTTAAATTGATCGAGTCTAAATGAGATTGGCCAAGCCAAGTGAGGGTATCGTATTATAAAACGGAATTACTTATCCAGGTTCTGTCCATTTTGCTGTTTGGATAGGATTAAAATATACATGATTAAATATTTTCATATTAGGAAATTAAGCATCTACTTCCGATCACATTCCCATGCTCCCTTTGCTCTGAGTTCGCTCTCCGTCCCTTCCATGTAGCTCTCGGTCTCATCTCCGTCTCTCCCGGAGCTGAAACTCGATCTCAGCTCCATCTCTCGAGCCTCCCTCTCTCTTTGTTTCGGGGTTTAAGTGGGAAAGAAGGAATGAAGGTAGCCTCGAAGCATTCGGTTAGCGATGGAAGCGAACGAGTCCTCCTCATTGGAGTGGGGCAACGTGACGGATTGGTCGAATGAGGGCGAGAAGATGAGCGGAGCAAGAGGTGTGAGCGGGAGGGATTAGGGTTTTTTTTAAAATTTGGGAAAGACCAAAGAGGTGGGACAGACCCGTCGGGACACCTCTTTGTGTCACTTCTGATACGAGGTTTTTGTGTTCGGCTTCTCTTTGTAAGTCGCGCGTTGAAAAGTTTATATACTACTTACCTTACCAAAAAAAAAAAAAGAGACGGGACAGAGCCGTAATGATATTAGGGATTTTTCACATTCGTAAGAAATAAAAAATATAAGTTAAAAATAGATTAAAAAAAATCGGTTCGGACTAGTTGGGCAGTTCCCCATGTAGAACCAAATCGAAATTCACCAATTACAATTGCATTGAACCAAGAACCGTACCAGTGCCCTCGGGAACCGCCCAAAACCGCCCGGTTAAGTTCGGTCCGGTCCGGCCCGGTCTCGGCTGTTCCATTTACTCACCCCTAATTTACTTATCGATGTCTATTACTAGAATAACAATCGGCAAATCTGGAACGGCCTGATCGAGCGAACCGGCCGGACCCCGAATCCCGTGTGACGCCGTGGACAACCTCTCAAGTCTAAAGTCCTTTTCACACAGCTCGTTGTTCGCCATTTGTCTCTCTTCTTGCACGCCGAAACGACAGCGACAAATCAATTCGGAAAGCGTCCGGAAGGCAAGAGTCCCCTCCGAAATATCCTTTCGTTCCTTCCCACCGTTCCCGCTGTCATAGTCTCGTGCGAGCAGATTGAGAATGCTGCGACTGCGGCGATGTGATATCGGTGGAGACAGACTTGACCCACCCACTCAGCCTTCGTCCCTCGGTCCCATCTCACACAACCCACGTGCTGTAACGAGCCACTGAAGGTGTGATGTCCGGTCGTCGGCGTCCTCATCCGCCTCCTCCTCCTCCTGCTCCTCCTCTCGCGCGTGGCTTGAGAGGTGCAGCGGTGGCTGGAGGTTGGCGTGGGATTGACTTTCGTAAACTTGAGTCGTCCGCAGCCCCTGAGACGACGAATAGGCGGAGAAAGATAAAAAGAGTTCCAGTATTTGCCGTTTTACGGGGAAGTCAGAGATCTTTTCCGTGGTTCTTGAAGAAGGGAGAGTAATTTGGGCCAATGCAGTTCAGCCATCAAATGGCAAAACTAATTTCTTTTGCCTTTTCAATCAACATTGATTAACGATGCTTGACCGAAATAACTAGCCTATGACATTGTTCAGAAAAATTACTGCCGGATTGACCAAACGATGTTAACTTTGATACATTGCATTAAATTTGGGTGCTCGAGGTCTTGATGCATTAAATTATGATGCTGTCCGTATTGGGGGCGTCGTGAGAATTTCAAATATTTTGCATAAAAAAAAATTTAAAAAGGTTGAGGATGAATTCTTAAGGGTCTAGTTGAAATGACTTTTTCTCCCTTGAATGGTAATTTTTGAAAAATCATATGATTTCAAATGAGTTTATAAATGCGAATATTCAGATACTTAAAGAAATTGGAGATGCACTATAGTTCAAATGAAATTTAAGAAGCTAAGCAGAAAATGAAAGTCTGACTGAACATATCCTAAGAATCTCATGACCAAGAACGAGAGAATTGTTGATATGAAGAACAAGTGGCTTGAGTGAACATGGTAGAGATCCAATATGCAACGCCTGTGCTGAATAGTCGAGACCACAATCTTGAGCTGCGGGGCCATTAGCTAGGAAAATCAGATTCTTCGATACGGCTTTCTTCATGGTGCTCCGTAAGTCCTTTAGCCAGGGACTGTGCAGTGACAATTAGGCCATGTGGGTATCTCTTGTAGTGGGAAACCACCATCACCTTCAACCACTAGGCCTTCCTCTGCAGAATTCTGATTTTCATCTTCTGTCCTCAAATTCACTTGCGGCTTGTGGTGTTCTTGGCACTTTCTCTACCAAAGCCAGTAGTGCTCCGGCAGCATGCCATGTTATAGGTTGTTGCTGAGGAGGAAAGATTCAAGCTGTCATCATGATATTTCTGGGAAAAGCAAGATTGTTTCCTCTCTTTCTAATGTCTCATTATGTTGTAAAATTTTGCATTGGAGGAGATGTCATCACAGCAACTGAGTATATCCAAGACCCTGGAAGTATCACATCGAGTGGAGGTCTCTACAGAATGGGATTCTTTAGCTCTAATGGTTCTGCAAACCGCTACGTGGGGATTTGGTACAATGATGTTCCTACGTATAATGTTCTCTGGGTAGCGAACGGGGAGAATCTGATTTTAGACTCTTCTGGTATTGTGACGACATCCGATGATGGTAATCTTGTGGTGATTAATGGAAAGAGGGAATTAGTTTGGTCATCAAATGCTTCCAACTCTGTAGCCAATGAAAAAGCTCAGTTGTCAGATTCTGGGAATCTTATCTTGCTCAAACAGAGCTCTAACTCTAGTGCAAATGCTGCAGAGACACTTTGGGAAAGTTTCCAGCACATGACCGATTCGTTCTTAGCGAAAATGAAGCTCAGCACTAACTCAAGAACAAATGAGAAGCAGGCACTAACATCTTGGAAGAGCCCTTCTGATCCATCAATTGGAAGCTTCTCAGCGAGTCTTGATCCATGAAATATTCCTGAACTTTTCATTTGGAATGGCAGTTCTCTGTGTTGGCAGAGTGGTCCATGGAATGGTAATATATTCGTTGGAGTACCTGAGATGCAATCAGTCTATATCAATGGGTTCAACCTGGTAGACGATCACGAGGGAACAGTCTATCTGACTTAGAGTTTTACGGAGGCGTCTTACTTGTCATATTTGTTATTGAAATCAAATGGGGATTTGGTGCAACCATGATTGGATCAGAATAGCAGTTCCTGGGGGATTGTTTGGTCATCACGGGTGAGCGATAGTGATGTCTATGGCCAGTGTGGACCGTTTGGAATCTGCAATGCCAAAAAATCACCAATTTGTAGCTGCTTGAGAGGCTTTGAGCTTAAAAACTTTGAGGAATGGAGCAGAGGAAATTGGTCCAGTGGATGCATTCGGAAGTCATTGCTGCAGTGTAATGGAACTACAAATGGTAGCAGTACAGCCGGCAAAAAGGATGGATTTTTAAAGCTGGAAATGATGAAAGTGCCAAATTCTGGAATATTTTTTGCTACCCTCGAAGATAGTTGCCCAGGAAATAGCTCAATTAATTGTTCATGTGTAGCATATGCATATGACTCTGGTGTCGGCTGCATGCACTGGAGAGGAGACCTAATTGACCCACAGAAGTTCTCCGTTGGAGGATCAACTCTTTACATTCGGCTGGCCCACTCAGAACTTAGTAAATTAACTTTACTCTTAGATGATGGTTCTTATCAATTTGGTACTGCAGCTTATGTTTAGATGGATCAATACACTTGGCTCGACTCAATCTTCAAGACTTGGCGGTCTTCATAAACAAACCAACATGCGCGCGCACGTGCACGGTCAAATATAGGCTTGAGCAGGGTCTAATATGGAGCCCTGATAACAGAACAGATTTGGCAGATCTTCTTGACTATGACAGTCTCATTTTTAGCTATAAAACAAGTGTTCCAAAATGGTTCGTTTAGTAGTTGCTTATGAGCTGCATCAACATAGTCTGAGGCATCAGTTTATGTCTCTGTTCTGATCTCCAGATGAAAAGGGACATCTGAGAGAAATCATAGCAACTGCAGTCATCATAGGAACACTCATTGTCATCATCACAATATGGTTTGCCAGGAGGAAGAAAAACGAGGTAACGAGTAGTACAGCTGTTTAATCATGGAATTGCCAATAATTTTTTAGTTTGCATGGAATAAATAACAAACATTGTTTTCTGTATCAGCAGTAAAGGAAAGCAAGGAAAAACATTTGTCCAGTGGAGAAGCCTCTTCAGTGGCAATGCTTGGAGAGAACTTGAGCAGAGTTAAATTCCAGGAGTTTGTGAACTACAAAATTGAAGAATTGGCTGCAGCAACAGGAAACTTCGGTGAGACCAAATAAGCTTGGACGGGGTGGTTTCGGGCCAGTATATAAGGTATAATTATTCATGTAGAGTTAAGTATTATATATGTAGGGGTGCGTGTGTGCGTGTTAATTTTAGTAGCTCATTTAGTCCCGTGTACAGGGGACAATACCAAACGGTCAGGAAATAGCAATCAAGAGGCTATCGAGAGCCTCAGGACAAGGGCAGCAGGAATTAATGAACGAAATGGTGGTCATTTGTAAGGTCCAACATCGAAATCTTGTTTGACTTCTCGGATGCTGTGTTGAAGGAGATGAGAAAATGTTAATCTATGAATTCATGCCAAACAAGAGTCTAGACACATTTCTTTTTGGTAATATTTCGCTTATCTCAATGTTGCCTCGAACTGTCATTTATACAATTTATCCAGAAAGCCTCATTTGTATAGTTAGCCATTTGAACAGGATTGGACTGTTCTTGCTGCAGATGCCATAAGTTTTCTGTTTGGCTTTGAACTTCTGTGCATTTTACCCTTTTCCAGTTGCGAAAATGAGTTGTTTGCATTAAACTTCTATGTCTATTCAGATCCACTTAAACGAGTATATTTGGATTGGAGAACACGGTTCAACATAGTCGATGGAATTTGTTGAGGTCTACTTTATCTTCATAGGGACTCTAGACTTAGGATTATTCATAGAGATTTGAAGGCAAGCAATATCCTGCTGGATGAAGAGCTCAATCCAAAATTTCAGACTTTGGAATGGCTCGGATATTTGGGAGAAACGAAAATCAAGCTAACACACGAAGAGTTGCGGGAACCTAGTTAGTACCTCTTTATTTTTGACATTCCTAATGATTTTAATCTCTACTTAGAACAAGGAATCAGAAGCTGTTTGATGGAATGCAGTGGTTACATGGCTCCTGAATATGCAATGGAAGGGCTTTTTTCGGAAAAATTATGTCTTTAGCTTCGGCATCTTATTACTGGAGATCATAAGTGGAAGACAGAACACCATTTTTCATGAGGAAGATCAATGCTTGAGCCTTCTAGGACTGGTAAGCTCTCATTGATATAGAAGTTGGAACTGCATTCTATTCTCATAAACTGGAATTCCAACAGTAAATTGACTTGATTAATTTGCAGGCATGGAAGTTATGGAATGAAGACAATGTATTAGCACTAGTGGACCCAAACATACCTGTGACATGCTTTGAGGTTGAGCTTTTAAGGTGCAGAAATGTGGGGCTTCTTTGTACACAAGAAAGGGCAAAAGATAGGCTTTCCATATCAACTGTTATTTCAATGATCAACAGTGAAATTGCGGATCTTCCTCGTCCGAAGCAACCTGCATTCACCGCGAGGAAACTAACAAGACACAGATTCCTCTGGACAAAGCCAAAAGACATGCTCGACCAATGATGTTACTCTTTCCGTTGTTCAAGGCAGATGACATGATCTGAAGTTTTGCACAATTCTCACTACGGCTCTGTTCGTTTGGCGGAAAATATTCTCCTTTTGAAAAATATTTTCCTGGAAGTCATTTTCCTGAAAAATATTTTCCCGAAACATAATTTTCCGGTGTTCGGCTACCAATATGAAAAAGTTTCGGAAAATATTTTTCGCCGGCGATCGGTGACCGGGCGGCCGGCAACCGGCGGCGGCGGTGGCCGGCGGACGGGGTGACCAGCGGCGGCGACCGCGGCGGTGGCGGCGGCGGAGGCCGGCGACCGCGTCGCGGCAGCAGCGATCGCGGCGGGCGACCAGCGGTGGCGGCGGGTTGCGCGACCGGCGGCGGCGGCGGGTTGCGCGACCGGGCGGCGGCGGCGCGACCGGGCGGCGGCAGCGGCGGCCGGTGGCGGGCAGCGGCCGGTGGCGGTGGGCGGCCGGCGGCAGCGCGGCCGGGCGGCGGCGGGCGGCGGGCGACCGGCGGCCGACAATGGTGACCAGCGATCAACTTCCTCTCCCACGGAAAATATTTTCCCTCCCATGAGCAATTTTGCCTTCAATTTGGGGGAAAATGATTTCCTCTTTATGAAAAGAGGAAATCATTTTCCTCAAAACATTGAAGGATTTGGGGATGGGGAAGGAAAACATCTTCCGCCCTCGAACACCGGAAAACGCGAAAAATATTTTCCGGAAAAATATTTTTCCGCAAATGAACAAAGCCTACGTGTCCTGTTCTTACTGTTTCGAGTTTGACTGGTTTTATTTTTACGCAATCTTGTTTGGAAATGTATAGAAACGCAAAACATGACATTTGGTAACTCATATTTGTGTCATCAAAAGTTGGGGTTCAAATATTTGGTAACTCCTGTTGGGAATAATGTTTCTACTTCTCATCTCAGGTGGCAGTGGTTTAGATAAAGTTCTGGAAAAATTGCGAACAGCCCCCCTCCACTATGGGGTGAATTTCAATTAGCCCCCTCCTTCAAATGTTCGTAACTACCCCTTGACATTTCTATTTGTTCCAAATTAGACTCCAAATCTTAGCAACACTAAAAATACCCTCAAAATTGCAATAGCCTCAAATGTTCACTAATGTTCATCTGGCATGATAAATTCAATGACATAGGTAGCTCAAAAAAATTCCACTAATCCAGTTGGTGAGAAAGATATGGTTTATTTTATTCAACACTGCAGTCCTTGTGGATTGATTGTAAGCAACCGGAAACTAAGTGCGTGGAAATGTTCATGAATCTACAAAGAAAGTGGCAATTCAAAAAAAGCAATTGGGCCACAATTCTGAATGAAGGCAAAAATCTAAAATTTCCATGGCATGCTCTCTCTGACTGATAATCCTCCAAGATTCAAATGCTTTTTCTACCGTTGCCCTCATCGGGCAAAAATGATGATGTAGAAACTCAAGCGCTTAGTTAATGCTCTCACGTTGGCGTGCTAGGTCAATATTCTTTTCTCATAGTTCAAGGTGTGGTGACACTTTAAGAATCTCACTATGAGGAAAAATAACAATGTCGATAAGAGCAAAAGAGGAAAGTGGTCTGATTAGTGATGTTATACCCAACAATGTGACTCAACAGTAAAGACCACCAAGTGGAAAACTTTTGAAAGGCCAGTTTAAGCCACTAGCCGGAAAAAACAGGACATTGATAGCAATAAGTGATGAGGAAAACTCTCCCCAGAGCAATATAAATTTCTTCATGGAGATGCTTAAACCATCTTTTGCAGATTTACCATTATCTTCAACCACAGGGTTTGCTCTCAAATAATTGTGATTTCCACCTTCTGTCCCAACTTCAGGTTGTCTTCTAATGTTCTAAATCATTTGTTTCTGAGAAGAAAAATTCAAGTCATGATCTTCCTAGGAAAAGTAAGAATATTCTCTCTCTTTATGTCATGTTATGTTGTGAAATTTTGCATTGGAGGAGACGTCATTACAGCTTCTGAGTACATCCCAGACCCTGGAAGTATCATATCAAGTGGAGGTCTCTACAGACTGGGATTCTTTAGCCCCAATGGTTCTACCAATCGGTATGTTGGAATTTGGCATAACAAGATTCCTGCATTTAACGTCTTTTGGGTTGCGAACAGGGAGAAGCCTGTTTCAGATTCTTCTGGTGTCATGACCATATCCGATGACGGCAACCTTGTAATAATGAATGGAAAGAAGGATGTACTTTGGTGATGCATGCGTCACACCAACATCTTCAGCTTGTGCCCCACTTGTTATTATGCTTACATGGAATTAGTTCACCACATATATTGCTGATTGAAGAGAAGCATTGAAGTCATTCTGGTGGTTTAATGAACAGTGCGTGAACAGTCCGAATTTGGAGTATTAATTGCTGTGGAAGTGGTGCGAATCTGGTCAAGAGCATTAAATGTCATCTTCTCGTTGCCAACTTCTTTTATTTTAATGATTTCAAGTTTCTAAGTTTAGATTCAAAGTTTTTGCTGAGTCTTAGGAATTAAATAAGGTTCTTAGAAGCTGATTGAACTCTATGTAAACCCTCTTGGGCGTCACTTTGAGGGATGACCATTTTGAATGAATATTGAGAGTTTTCTCTTGCAATTCTATTGCAAAACTTAAGGTTTCTGTATCACTTAGTGGATTCTAAGTGTGGTGAGCCTCCTTGAGCATCTGTATCCTTGTTTGGTGGTGGTTCGACCTATATCCAAACCTGGTGGTGAGCTCGTCCAATTTATCCTTCTTTTTCGCACAACAAAACCTAACCTTTTCGCAACCAAGCGAGACCGATTCGCATCATTTGGCGCCGTCTGTGGGAAAAGGTTCCATTTGTGCAAATTTCCTATTCCAAACACCCCCTTTCACCTTCTTAAACACTTACCAGCCTAAAAATCACTTCTTTTCAGCCTAAACACTTATTACAGTCCCTAAAACGCTCCAGACTTTGAGTATTGAAATGGAAAACGAATTTCAACGTGGATTGACGTTTGAACAAGCTCGCTCTATGCGAATGGAACGTGAAATCGCAGATCTCAGACGCCAATTACAGCAGCTCTTGAATGATCGAGGAGCAGCATCTTCCAACGTAAGTTCTGGAGAGGAAGAGGACAATCCTTTTCACGAGCAGCCAAGTGACGATGAGATTCAAGGAAGGAGGCGGCCCAGATTTCGTCCTCAAAAGAATGACTCGATATTAAGGTTGAAATACCAGAGTTTGAAGGTAAACTCTCACCTGATGACTTCCTTGATTGGCTCCATACAATAGAAAGAGTGTTTGAATATAAGGAGTATTCGGAGGAGAAGAAAGTTAAAATTGCAGCCTTGAAATTGCGAAAATATGCAAGCCTATGGTGGGAAAACCTTAAAGCTCAGCGAGTTCGTGAGGGAAAGAGCAAAATTCGTACTTGGGATAAGATGAAGAGAGAGATGAAGAAGCGTTTCTTACCCGAGAACTATAGGCAAGATCTGTTCTTAAAGCTTCATTCTTTGAAACAAAATGATCTGAGTGTTGAAGAGTATACTCGGGAATTTGAACAACTCATGATGAAGTGTGATGTTTCTGAGTCCCAAGAACAAACAATCGCTCGTTATTTGGGTGGTTTGAAGAAACATATTGCTGACTCAGTGGATTTACAGCCATATTGGAGTTTTCTTGATGTATGCAAGCTTGCCTATAAAGTTGAGAAGCAACAAGACACCTCCAAGAAATCGGCTTACAAACCATTCATAAAGGGAGCTTCTTCCAGCAAAGGGAGTTCGTCTTTTCAAGCTGAGAAGACCACGGTGAGAAAGGACAAGGCAAAAGTTGATTCTCAGCCCATGACAACCGCTAAGGAGAGAAGATGTTTCAAATGTCAAGGATATGGGCATATTGCATCTGAATGTCCCAATCGGCGCACAATCACTCTCAAAGAAGTCGTAGAAACTAACGTCGAAGAAGATGAACCAATTTGGGATCCAGATGAAGAGGAAGAGTATGTGGAGCAACCTGATGATGGTGAACTACTTGTGATTCGCAAGTCTTTGAATTCAAATATGGCGCCTATGGAAGAGCAAAGAGAGAACATCTTTCAAACAAGATGTACCATCAAAGGGAAGGTATGCCATGTTATTGTTGATAGTGGTAGCTGCACTAATGTTGCTTCCGCGACCATGATTGAAAAGTTAAGTTTACCTACGATGTCACACCCTCAGCCTTACAAACTCCAATGGCTAAACAAGGGGAGTGATGTGAAGGTAACTAAACAAGCAATAATCTCATTTTCAATTGGGAAACATTATCAAGATAAGGTTACGTGTGATATAATCCCTATGGATGCTTGCCATTTGTTACTTGGAAGACCATGGCAGTATGATCGAAAGGCGATGCACGATGGATTCAAGAATACTTATTCTATCCATTTAGGGCAGAAAAGAATCACTCTTACCCCATTGTCTCCAAGCTGTGATGAACGTGCTCGACATGAAGAGAATGGAGTAGCTGGCCATTTTCTTAGCCAGGCTGAACTTCGTGAAACTTGCTTGAAGAAGCAACAAATTTATGCGCTACTTTTGCTTGAGCAGAATGTGGTCCATGAAGATTTGATTCATCCTTTAGTCATGACATTGTTGAATGAGTTTGCTGATGTCTTCCCTGAAGAGATGCCATCCGGCTTACCTCCAAAGAGGGAGATTCAACACCAAATTGATTTAATGCCCGGCGTACCGTTACCAAACAAACCGGCATATAGATGCAACCCGGAGGAGACTAAAGAGCTTCAACGACAAGTAGATGAGCTGATCTCCAAAGGCTACGTATGAGAGAGCTTGAGTCCATGTTCTGTACCAGCCATTTTGGTCCCCAAGAAGGATGGTTCGTGGAGGATGTGTATGGACAGCCGTGCCATCAACAAAATTACGGTAAAGTACCGTTATCCCATTCCACGACTTGATGATATGCTAGATGAATTGCATGGTGCCACTATTTTTTCTAAGGTAGATCTTCGGAGTGGTTATCATCAAATTCGAATGAAGGAAGGTGATGAGTGGAAAACGGCTTTCAAAACCAA